AACACACACACATACACACTCACACACACACAGCACACACACACACACACATACACACACACACACACACACACACACACACACACACACACACACACACATACACACACATTCTGTCTCTCTTCCTCTCTCTCTCTCTCTCTCTCTCTCTCTCTCTCACATACACACACACACACACGTACGTACACACAACCCACTTACCCTCTAACAAACACACGAGCACACACACAGCACATATACACACATATACATACATTCTCTCTCCCTGTCACACACACACACACACACACACACACACACACACACACACACACACACACACACACACACACACACATGCACACACATACAAAAACCACTTGCCCTCTAACGGGAGGGGGTGGGATTGGGCTGGGATACCCGCCCCCACTCATGCTGGGTCGTCTTGTGACGTCATTGGCCCTCTGTTGGTTCATCATGTACTGTAGATAGATAAATAGACAGATAGATAGGTCGTGATTGAGTGAGATAGACAGTGCAATAGATAGAGATATATAGATAGATAGATAGATAGATAAATAGATAGATAAACACACAGACAGACAGACAGACAGACAGACAGACAGACAGACAGATAGATGGTCAGACAGACGGACGGAAAGACAGATAGTGAGAAGAACAGACAGCCAGGTTGGCAGGCAGGCATCAGACAGACTGACAGACAAACAGACAGACAGGCAGACAGACAGATAGATTTCCAAGCAATCATACATACACGCAGAAAGACATAGAACTTGTTCGATCATGGTATTAAGTTCACCTGATAGAAAGCCAGAGCGACGAGGCGCCTTTCTTTCTCCAAAGCTGCTCTTGTCCTGGGGTCCGCAAGAAGGGCTGGGTTCTGTTGGAACGGGTCCAGGTCCCAGGGAGTGCGGGCCAGAGGGCCACGCATACCTGGAAGTGGAAGGCAGTTGATGAATTGGTCTTAAAAATGTGTCCCCTTGATCAGATAGATAGATGGCTAGATAGATGGATGGATGGACTGATAGATAGATAGAGATAGATACATAGTTAGATAGATAGATAGATAGATAAGATAGATAGATAGATAGGAGGAGGAGGAGGAGTGGGAGGAGTGTGCGTGTCTGTATTTCTATGTGTGTGTGTGTGTGTGTGTGTGTGTGTGTGTGTGTGTGTGTGTGTGTGTGCATTAGTACACAAAATAAGTGATGTGTCCTTCGGTGTTGTATTTTGTTCCTGACACTCGAGGATAGAACTGAGCAGCCACACCAGTCGTAGCAACCTTGTAAACTGGCACCAGTGCCCCGTACTTCTTTATCTCGGGAGACAGATCGCTACGTCAGAATAACACCGTTTTATCAGTTAAGTACAACGTACCTAGTTTTGAAAAAATTAAAGAAAACAATTTATTTTGAGCTTCACAATATTTCAAGCTTTTTCGAATGCAATTCTTGACAACGACTCCGAATAATCTTACGACTTCGATAGAGCAGATGGAACATTTATTGGTTTCTGACCTCGTGGTCTTAATAAATGAAAACGGTCAAAAATGTCAAAAATAACTTTGTAATTCTGAGGCTGCGAGACGCAAGCAATATATGTCATGTACATCATTGGGGTACTTTTCACTTACCTCTGTCTTGTGGCCCTCCGTAGCTCGACGGCAGAGGGCGGCCTTGGGGCTCCAAGAATGGCCGGACATGGTTATAAGGATTGCCGGGGCCTTGGACTATCGCTGTAAAATATGATTGCAAATATTTTACGCCCCTTTCGATACAATATGTAAAAACTGACTCCACCTTTCCCCTGAAGTGGACTCGAGGTGGAGGTTACAGATAAAGCATGAAACAATTGCATATCAGTTGGCGGGGGGGGGCTGCTTTTGTGTGCAGGTGCTTTACCCCCCCCCCCCCCCTTTAACACTATTAAGGTAATCTAACACTTTCCATCCAAATGATGGCTCATGTAGGAAAAACCCATACATTTACGCCTTCCCCCCCCCTCCCCCCCC